GTACAGGGGAAAATCAACAATTACCCAATACAGCTCGGACTTACTGTTGTTTCATTCAATTTTTCAGTCAACGAAAGTTTTTGTCACAGCAACTGTGACTTTCGACGTAGGTATTAGCAGTGGCTTGCAGCATAGCTTACGTTATAGTCATGCAGTGCGAAGTTTGAAAACGCTGCCATTTCTCCATGTTAGCTACTAATTCAGGCTGCCGATACGAGAATGCGCTTTTACGCTAAACTTGCAGCATTCAGCTCGTTAGCAGTGGTTCCTGCTTTGTATTTTAACACGTAGTCCATGTTGGCCATATTTTTTTTTTTGCATATTCTTGCGTACAAAGAGGAAAAGGTATTGATAGGATGGTGGTGTTGCAGCATAGCTTCGCGTGATCCTTCAGCACGTATGATGATTATCAATTTTGCATAAAGACCAGTTATTTTCCGGTCGTCGGTCGTTCGTTGAAAAATGCAAATTTGACAATGCGTAGTATATCAGAATCGAATGATTACGAAATCCGCAAAACCCGCGCTGTTTCGAGTTTTGCAATAAAATTGAGTACTTCTTACGTCCTTGTGCAGGGAGTTCAGCCTCCAAGCTGTATTTAGATCAACTTCAATGCGAATCTTGCAAAGTCATAGCCTCGAAACTTGTTCTGTGAGCGAAATATCTGTTTCGTTACAAGTATTTCTGAAATACCCTAATTCATGGCGCAAACGCAAACTGCAACTCGTTTTAAATGAATAAATATCCCGACAAATCTTTAGTTGCTGTTTTTCGGCTAGTTTTCGAGTTGAAACAATATCAACTGCGAACTTTAATGTAATTGTATGCATAATGTAGACGTGCGCGGTAGTTTGAAACTTTTTGCCTGCACGCAGACAGGGGACATCAGTATGAAATTTAAGTTTTCTAGCTTGTCTAATTTTCAAAATTTCTCCCCATAAAAAATTGCATGTTTTTTTTCCAGCGTGCGTGCGTGAGATCCAGATGTCGTGAGCAGGTTGTGACGGTGGTGAGTATAAACTAGAAACAGGCTCGCAAAGTTTCAGCTTCCCAGCTTTCCCGATTTCTAAGCAGAAAGTGGGGGACAAAGTTCAGTCACCCACGCACATACACACAGCATACTTCCCGACAATATGCGTTTTTGCTCACTGTAGCGCTGCGCAACAAGAACAAGTCGAAGTCTAGATTTTTAATTCCTGAAAATAATTGTTGGGAACGTGTTGCAGCGGCGATCGAGTGGTGTTCCAAATCGGGTACAGCGAAGAATGTCCGCGCTGCTCAAGTTTCAATGCCTGCTCAAATTCGAAAGATTGGTGATGTGAGTATTTTTGTGTGCATTTTGGATTTATTATCATTTTCATACGTTTTTGCTTATTTGCAAATGCAATAATTGGCCAGCGCACGGGCTGCCCGTGCGAAAATGCATTTTTTGCATGGTTCCTCGCAATTTTTGTCACTACCGGCACCGGTTTTTTCGGCAAAAGCTTCTAGCTAAACAAATTAAGACTGACTGCCAGAACTGTCAGGAAACGCCCCCTTAAAATTTCAGCTTTCTAGCTTTCCTGGCTCCTGAGTTAGCAATTTACTGGAAAAAAACTTCCATCGCCCGCGCGTGGGCACTACGCATACCCGAGGGCTGGGTTTGAGCTGAATGAGACTTAGGGGGACGGAGAATATCCTCTTAAAATTACAATCCTTTAGCTTTTCAGATCCTGGAGTTATCAACTTACCCGAAAAAACTTTGGCGGACCTGTACGTAGGTACCGCGCATACCCAGGGACTGGTTTGAAGCTCATTAAGATTACGTGGACAGGGAACGTCCTTATAAAATTTCAGCTTTCTAGCGTCTCAGATCCCCGAGTTATGAACTTACCCGAAAAAAATTTTGGCGAGCTGGTACGCAGGAACAACGCTTACCCGGTGACTGGATTTGAGTTCATTAATATTTACTTGGACGGGGAGCATACCCCTAAGATTTCAGAATTCTAGCTTCTCAGATCCTTGAGTTATGAACTTACCCGAAAAAAAACTTTAGTGGGCCCGTACTCGAGTACCGCGCTTACTCGGGCGCTGGGTTTGAGCTCATTAATACCTACTTGGACGGGGAACATCCCCTTAAAATTTCAGCCTTCCAG